GTATTCCATGAGCTAAAGTAAGCACATTTAAATGATAATGGAAGAAGATTTTAACAGAGAAGCACAAACTATTTTAAAAATGGAAAACTTGGAACTAGGAATATAAGATTTGAAATTTCGAATTTCAGGGGATGTGCTCAGTAGCAGAGTGGAGATGAAAGAATGAGGCACCGAACCTGAAGACAGATCAATAGAGATTGTTCCTAGATAGAACAGAAGAAAACGATTGAGATTAAAAAAAAAAAAAAAGAAACCTGAAACTTTCCTTGTATGGGAATGTTCTAAATGATAACATATTTGTACCTACAGAGATTCAAGAAAAGAGAAACACCAGGCTTTATAGAGAGAAAATATTTATAGAAATAATGATTAAAAACTTCCAAAATTTGTAGAACCATACAGAGTTCCGATGATCAAAGACATTTAAGAAATCCCAAGTGATATATTCTCAAAGAAAAAATATATCCAAGCACATCATTTAAAAATTGCTTGAATTTGGAGCTACAGTGCTAATTCAGTGGTTAAGAACATGTATCTGCTCTTGCAGAGGACCCAGTTTGATTCCCAAAACTTACAACCAGCTGAAACTCTAGTTCTAGAGCGTCTGTTCTACCCTTCTGTCCAATCGTAGGGGATACAACGCCATCTTCAAGCCTCCACATGCTTATGCACATGCGGTGCACATTAACTCATGCAGGCTCACACATAAATAAGAAATACATAAATAAAAAAATTAACTGGAATCCAAAATAAAGAAAAAACTTGAAAGTAGTCAGAAAACATATACACATACACACCCCCACACCTCATGCTCCCCTCATCAAATTATATATATAGTAGAACATTACTGATTGACAAATTGGATTCCCGCAGTTATTTCAAAGTAGAAGGTTGAAGGTTATTCCATTCCTTATCACAAATGAAGAACAGACTGGAGCAGACCCTCCTATTGAAAAATAGCATTTCAGTTTGCTAAAAATGCACCATGAAAGGAATATCTTTCCTTGCCAACAACAGAAAATCAGATCTGTAGTCCAAATCTGGCTTGCCACCTATTTATGAATAAAGTTCTACATTGTCCTGTTTATTTACTTATTGTCTAGCTGCTTCTAAACTACAAGAAGGCAAATAGTGAAACAAATACCATATGACTTGTATTGCTGAAAATGTTTACTATCTGACCCTTTAGGTAAAAGTATACCGTGACCACTGAGTTAATTTAATACAAATACACCTTGCATAGTAGGCCATGTAGTTGTCAGGGCAGTCCATTGGAAGTATCTAGAAAATTTGTTTGTTATTGTATACTTATTATTTTTTTGGTCTTTTTTTGAGACAAGGTCTCCCTGAGCTCTAGCTGGCCAGAACTCACTGTGTAGATCAGCCTGGTTTTGATCTCTCAGAGATCTGCTTGCCTCTGCCTCCTGAGTGCTGGAATTAAAGGTGTGTATTACCATGCTGCTCGCCTGTATATTTATTTTTATAATCATTAACTAGCAGGTACAGTTTATGGCTCTACTGGTAGTTTCTGCTTTTATTTTCTTCTGTAGGTTGAACACTTGTTCAAAAGCCCTACATCCATACGCTTCAAAATTTAACATGTTTTGAGCACCTACATGATGCCACAAGTGAAAAATTCCACACTTGACCTCATGTTGTGGGTTGCTGTCAAATCACAGAACACTAAAGGTCTCTATACAATTCTTTTTAGAATACATATATAAAATTTCGTGTGAGGGTTGACAAGATGGCTCAGCAGGTAAAAGCACTTGCCACAGAAGCCTGGCAAACTGAGTTTGTTCCCTGGAATCCATGGTAGGAGAAAACCAACCTGAAAGTTGTCCACTGATGTTCACATGCATACCATAGCACACACACTCCCCTTGCATGTCTATACCCATGCTCATACACACATCACACACACAATAATACAATTTTTAAAAAGTGTATATGAAACATGGGAATTTCCTGTTTAGATTTGGGTCATATATTCAACATATCTTCATTATTTGTACACATATGTATACTCCAAAACTCCCCAACCCCTCTAATCCCTAAGTACTTCTGGTCCTAAGCATTTTGGTTAAGGGATTCTCAAGCTCTAGTGTGTTTCTTTTATTTTATCATTATTATTATTATTATTATTATTTTTACTATGTATATACTATGCTAGCAGGCAGGCAGGGCAGCAGAGGGCATGTCCTCTGGTGATAAAACTCCTGTATAACTGCAGCAGTTCACCTATTTGAAAAAGTTGGAATTCTGTTCATATGTTATCTTTAAGACCACATCAAATTTAAAGTTGACCTTATTGTACATGTAAAGTGAGTTGTAACAGTGTGGTAGTTAATAAAACAGAATTCTTTTTGGCTAATAAGGCAGACCTTGCTTAGCTGGACTCCAGTTTTATGTTTTTGGCCTAAGAAGTAGAGATTCCTTAGCCCTTGTATCTCCTGCCAACTCTCAGATTCCTTAGGCCTTGGTGGGGACTACTTGGCCCTTAAGGCTTGACAGTTCCCTGGGACTATTCCAAAGGCCAGGTCTGTACTTCTTCTCTGACTTCTTCTGGCCTTGTAGCCATCGTGCTGTCTACTTCAACATTCCCCTCGTTCCTGCTCCTCTTGATCTGTGTACTTGCCCCTTCTTTAGCTTTCAAGTAGCAGGTCACCTTACCGATTTGGCAGTTTGACCTGTGGACTGCTCAGTTGTCACTGACTCTCCACTGTGTCTGTTGTCACCAGTACTCTGCTGTTTCTGATGCTTATTTCTTCCTGTTACCAGCTCAGTCCACAGTACCAAGAGTAGGCATGGAAAGACTACTTGAGAGAAACTTAAAAAATTTTTAATGTTCCAACACCCATGGAGGCAGCATGTGAAAGTCTCCTAGCTGTCTTCCAGAGTGAGGTGACAGCTTGATGATAACAGAAGGAAGAATGTTTGTACCAATCACAGCCAACCTTGGGTCATGCAAATCTGAGTTTATATTTGTACCAATTGTGGCAAACCTCCCATGGAAATGAAGGTTTGTGTCTGTACCAATCACACCATTGTCCCTTTAGCAGGAGTCTCCACTAATAATGTTGCCCCATCTGGCCTACATTGAAATGATTGCAGGGTCATTTTGAATTCACCAATACTTTTGTTCATCTCTTATGAATCAAATCAAACTTTTCTAAAGAAGTGTGTGTGTGTGTGTGTGTGTGTGTGTGTGTGTAGTGTGTGTGTGTGTATATACGTATTTGGCTTGGTACTATATATAGTTTCAGGCATCCTCTGGTGTGGGGGGTGTTCTGTCTTAGAACATACCTCACCCACTGGGATGGGGAGTACAGTATGGTCATGGTGGAGCATTGGAAAATTAAGGATAAAGAAAACTGTCCAGAGGTTACTACTGCTGTTACCTCACTATGTATTTCTCCAGAAATGATTTACACATACATGCACAAACAGGGTCCACTTTTGAACTTTTTGTTTATTGCATCTAGGTTTTATGATTTTTAATTCCCTTTTATCTAACATTGTCCTTAAAAACAATCTTTCTTGATAAATTGTTTTTAAACAAGTACTTACAGACTCCTACTTCCCACATAGAAAATGTCAAATGAATGCTTTTAATTTTAATCATCTGAAGGAGAATGAAAACTCAAGGAGCAGGAAAGTTTTGTAAAGTAGATTGTTGGTTTGTTAGTGGTAAGATTCTGAGTGAGGTTAATTAGTCTTCTATCTCATCTTTTTTTTTTTTTTTGACACTTGTTAGTATGTAGGTACAAGTAAACTAAAGACAATTTCTTTAGTAGAGATCAGAACAAAGTTGCATACTCTAGTGCTTTTCTATAGAAAAAAGGGCAGCTTAGCTGAGTTGGCAGAATGCTGTTAGACTGAGACGTCTTAAAACCATTGGTGGAAAGAGTTGATAACTCACTTTATTTTGAGACAGAGTCTTTCTACATCACTCAGACTGACCTCGAACTACTCAATATCCTCTTCCCTCAATCTCCTTAGTGCTGGGATTACAGATGTTCACTGTCGTGCTCATTTTGCTATTCTTGATTTAGTTGTGCACATTACTGGTTTTGTTCTATAGAAGATGGGAATTTGATTACGTTAACTGTGGCAAACATAAGTTGTAGAAAATAGCAATAATTGCAATTTTAATAATTACCAGATTCTTTTTAAATTTTATAATTATTCATAACTTTTCTCCCCTTATCCATAGTTATAAAGCTCTATGAGAATTTTAGGATTTCTCTGTAAAATAAAGTCATTGGAACTGATAGGACTTGAATCTGTTGAATACTATCACTTTGGATACTATTGGCATTTTAATGTGTTTTAAGCCCAGAGGCATAGTATATCTTTGCATTTATTTGTCTTTTAAATTTTCTCTCAGTAATGCTTTGATGTTTTTAGTGGACAGATTTTTTTTTTACCACCACATTTAATATTTTTTCCTAAACTTTTTATTCTTTTCAATACTTTTGCAAGTAAATTTATTTTCTCAATTTTCTTTTATGATTTTTATTAGCTTGTAAAATGCAATGACTGGGATATGATCTATGACATTACTAAGTTGTTCCGTCTTTCCCCCTGTATTTTAGAGCAAGCAAATGGTTTGAATGAATTCATAGGAAAGTAAAATTGAATAAATGATAACTCCTGAATTGAATGAAAATGCTAAATTTTAATCTTTTTATTCACTAAACTAAGCTTAAACATATGTAGTTGAACTGATTTGAAACTGTTGTTCTAGAAAAATGCCAGCATATCAAAATAACTTTTAAAAACATTTCAGTGTGAGTTATTGATAACATTTAAAGATTATGCAAATTATATTTCTCGGGTATAATGAGAACTTTCCACTCTTTTTGTGCTTTACTAAGTCTTCTGTCAAAGGTGCCAGATGCCAGATGTTTACAGTATTTTTTTTTTTAAATAGGTTTTGAGGTATCAGTTGTGTGCACATTGTACGTTTCAGCTTTTTATTTTCTCATTATTTACAGGCCACGGAAACACTGTTTAGAATGGGTGTTGCAAGAGGAACCATCACAACGTTAAGAAATGGAGAAGTAAGATGAGAATTTTGATATGATTACTAGTTGTTAATTCATAGTTTGCCTTGTCTTCAGTATACAATGTGGTGAATCCTATGATGCTTCACAGAGAAATGTGAAGAATGTGTAATAGAGAAAGACTTGTATACAAAAGTAAATCTAACTAATGTGCAAGCCTAGTTTAGTTTACAGCTTCTTGGACCCAGAACTTAGATTGAAAATAATTTGCTAAGTCTTTTAATCTTTGGTTCCTAATTTTTTTTTAACAGAAAATGACATTTATTTAATAATAATGTGTTCATAGACATTTTAAATTAAAACAATCCTTTGCCTTTTTGTACTTCCATTTTATGTTACACAGAACTGATACTTATTTCTTAGAATAAAATTTGAAATATTGACCTCTTTCACAGGCAGGAGGGACCGAGAGACTTGTCTGTTCTGTCTTATTGAGGCTCACCTAAGTCCTAGATTATAAGTTTTGATGTTTCTAAGTGTTGATGTTGATTAAAAGTATTTTATTAGCTGAAATGAATTTCCATTAAAAATTATTAGCAGACTGATTACTACCTCCAGTCTTTCTCTGTATTTCCTCCTGCACTGAGGCATATTTAGGTTGAAAGTGAGTGTAATATTGCTGTGACCATTTTTCTGCTACTGGTAAATACTGAGGGATGAAATACCTCATATCCTGGAATTAAGTTCTTTGTTATTTAAAGTAATATTTATAATCGATATATAAATATTTAACAGTGGGAGTGACTGAACAAGCATTTGAATGAATTGTTCTGTACGATTATAAATTAGACTGTTTCATATTTTTTCCCAGGTATATACATGGCATCATTAAAAAGTAGTGTACTCGTAAATACTTAATTGTTTACTGGCAAATAGCTATGCAATTTTAATACACATTTTATTCATGAGGAAAGAATACCTTCATATTCACAGAACATTGAAGTATGTAATGCTCTTTCTATAAAGGAAAACTTACTTTGTAGTACGATCAGACATTTATCGATCTAGAATGTCTAACAATTTCAGATTTTATTACTGTATTCTGACTCATGTGGGCAGTTAACTTTTGCCCTTTATCTTCTGTTATGTAGTAAAGTTGTAAGTTTTGTAAGTAATTGTTTGAAAGTATCAGTGTATACTTGATGTGATTTTATTTTACCGAATGGGCAAGCATTAATATAGCTGGCTTTCATCCTTTCTTCTCTTCTTGCTGGGTATTCCTGTATATGACCAACCTGGAGTAACAGGTTTTAACATTGAACCAAGTGCTTAAGCACTCTCTGACTTTGTGTTTTTAAAATGTAAGATCCACATTTTTTATTATTTTTTCTAATATTTGAAGAGCTCTGAAAATAGAATGTGCCATTTAATTAAGGGAATTTTCGAAGGTGTTTGACGATTATCTCACAGGTTATAGTGCATCATAGATGTTTTAAGCAGAGGAATGCTACATTATTCTTTTAAATCTTCATCATAATTCTATATGGGAGAAATTATAATTGTTACAGATATACTGAGGCTCAGAGAACTTGAACATTTTGCTTGTTGTCAAGTAGCAGGAAACAGGAGAGCTTGGATTGGGACCATAGTCTCTAAGCCCATTCTTTCTGCCATCTAATTTCTTTCAGTGTGATCACATGGACAAGAGTTTACATTCACTGTTTGTCCTTTTTATCATTTGTTGAAGTATTGAAAAATAATATAAGATTAAGTTTTTAAAAGATTTTAAAAATATTCTATACCATTACTTTCCATGTGTATGGAATAATATATGCCTTAACACAAATGGAAAAAAAAAAGCGTTTACTCCTTTAAATGTGTTAGCTCAATGGTGACTTCTTTGCAAAATCTTTAGTAGCTAGATCTTTGCTTCTTGAGTGAATCATAGATGCTAGAAAGCAGGTCATTGTCTTGGTAAATGCTTAAAAACATGCTTATATATTTGAATAGCAAACTTTAAAAAGTCATCACATTAATAAATAAGTATTTAGTGTGCCTGACTCAAAAGCGAAACTTTTATAATTCTTCAGGAAAGGCGTAATCCTGCGTTATGCCATCCAATTGTCTCTTCATAAGAGGAAAAGCATTCTTTGTTAGAAGATAAAGTTGCTCTCTTAAATTTAAGTAATTCAAAAATTACCTGCATTTTAATATAACAGTAATAAAGCAGGAATTGATATTTTTATAATTATTCTTTTAAAAATTTTAAATGGTGTGTGTGTGTGTGTGTGTGTGTGTGTGTGCTTGGGCATGCCATGGTGCATATGTGGAAGTCAGAGGAAAACTTTGTACAGTTGGTTCTTTCCTTCCATCTTTATGTGGGTTCAGGGGGTTGAACTTGGATTGTCAGGCTTGTACAGCAAATGCCTTTGCAGCTGAGCCATCTTTTCAGTCTTCATGTGATTATTTGTAATCTAAAGTTTTGAAAAATATTTTATTCATTATTTTTATTTTTATGTGAATGAGTATGTTGTCTGCATGTATGTAATTGCATCCATGTTGTGTATTACCCATGGAGTTCAGAAGAAGGTGTTGGATCTCCTGGAACTGGAGTTACAGATAGTTCTTAGCCACCATGTGGGTTCTGGGAATTGAACCCAGGTCTTCTGCAAGAGCAATCAGTGCTCAGAACTACTGAGCCAACTCTCTAGCCCAAGGCTGCTATCTTTTACTAGTACCAGAAATCAACTAAAAGTGGATAAAGATGTTAATACTCCAAACTGTGAAACCTCTAGAAGAAAAATAGGGGCAATGCTTTAGTTCATTGGGTTGGTTAATGAATTTTTGGACAAGACCCTAGAAGTACAAAAAACAAAAGAAAACATAGGCAGATAGGATTGTATAAAACTTAAAGGCTTCTACACAGCAAAGAAAACAATCATTGGAGTGAAGAGATACCCATGAATGGGAAAAATATTTTCATACTTCACATATGAAAAAGTGGTGGTATCCAGCACCTATAAAAAACTCTAAAATCAGAAGAGCAGATCTGCCTAGGCAGCATAGTGAAGCCCTGTCTCAGATAAAGAAAAAGAAAAGGTCAGTTGGGGCTACAAGGAGACCCTGTCTCAAAAAAAAAAAAAAAAAAAAAAAAAAAAGCAAAAGCTTAAGAAAATGTCTCAGAAGTGCTCCTGGGATGTGGTAGAAACGTAGCTCTTACATGCTTATGGTGGGGAGATAGAGTAGTACAGCCACTGTGGAAGGGCCTAAAAATATTAAAAATACAACTGCCATCCACTCCAGCACTCATATTCCTAGATATAGCCGAAACATATGAAATCAGCATGCTGATGTGACATCTGCACTTGCATGTTAATTGTAGCACTCTTTATAGGGCCAATAAATGGAACCCACCCATGTTCCCAGCAGCTGCTGAGTGGACGAAGGAATTGTGGTCCATAGACATAAAAGAATACTGTTTGATCATGAAAGAAATGAAATCCTATAATTTGTGACAACACATAAAGAACTGGAGATGGTTGTATTGAGTGAACTAGCAAACACAGTGAGATAAGTACTGCATGTGCCTCGCTCTTGTGCAATCTTTAAGTTAGGACATAGAGAAATGGAGAGTGGAATGGTGGTTAACAGAGGCTAGGGAGGGTGGTGGGAGGGAGGAATGGGGGAGGTTTGGAAAATAGGTATTAAGCTATGGTTAAATAGGAGGAAGAATTCTGGTGTGCTGTTTCACAGTAGGGTGATGATAGATAGCATTATATGCTATATATTTCAAACGCTTACTTGAAAGTCATTATGATTATTTGATTAATGCTTGAGGAGAGAGGGATAGTGAACCTGATGTAAAAATAGATAATGTAAATGTGTATTGAGATGTCGCGTGGAATCCATTAACATGCACAATTTTTTTTATCTCTTTAGATGTCAGGAATTAAAAGAAAAATTAACAGCTATCAATTTTATGTACTTACCATTATTATTTTTTGAAATGAGAATTTTGTAGTTCATAAAACCCCCTCTCATTTTCTTGAGAATTTTCTAAATGTGGACTTAATGCTATATGTATACTTAATTGGGCTTACCGTGTAAGAATTAGTTTTGTGCTTCCCTCCCAACTGGGATTGGCCAGCCTCATGTCATGGAAAAGCCTACCAGCTATATTTGGGAAGATCCAGTTTCTCTTTCTGGCTCTCCTAGCTGTGTTATTGCATAGCTTACTTAATTTCTTACAAATTCATATTTGATGAGATTTATGGGCACTGTGTAGTGTTAACATTTTTACTTCTACAAAGATGTAAATGTCTTTCCTTTCTAGTACTTTAAAGTGATAATTGCCAACCTTGACTATTCATGAGAACTGTCATGTAGCTCTATAAAAGTATAAGCATCTTGGGCTCTAGTATATACATATATTTTTAAATGTCCACTTACTTTAATGCATAGCTGATCCTCTAAAATATTATCTTAGAGATATTTTCCTTTATTTTTTAAAAATGTTATTAATTTTATTTTATGTGTATGGGTGTTTTGCCTGCATGTCTATAAGTGCACCACATGCATGTCTTGCCTTTTGAAGTCAGAAGAGAGTGATGACCTCACTGGACAGTTGTTAGCTGCCATGTGGGTGTTGGAAACCAAACCCAGATCTTCTGCAAGACTGGCCAGTGCTCTTAATTGCTGTTCCAGCTCTCCGGTCCCCTTCTTTATTTTCTGAACTCAAGAAGAACATAGTTTGAGTAAGACAAAATAGATAATGAAATAGCATAATTTTCAAAGTGTGTTTTAAAAGTTCAGTGTATAAAATATGATACAGCAGCAGGATTTGTTGCTGTTTCGATAAGATGTGGGGTTTGACCCTTAATCTTCTCTTCTTTTATGTTGTGTTTCTTAGTTTTCTTTCCTGTCGCTGCAATAAAATACCCTGACAAAAGCAGCTCAGTAGAGAAAGGATTTATTTGGCTCCCAATTTCTGGTTACAGTCCATCATTTCAGAGACGTCAAGGTGGCAGGAAGTTAAGTGGGGAGTCACATTACATCCA